CAGACGTTTCGTAGCCAGGTTAGGCAAAACCATCAGTGCAACGATGATATGCACTTCCTGGTTAAAAGTATATAAATGAACTGACAAAAGATAACCGGATACGCATGCCTGACGAGCTGCAAGAACCGCTAAACCGGTCTACTTCTTCCAGGGATTTTTTCACATACTGCTTATGTTGTGAGGTACTACACACATTTGTGAGTAGTAGGAAACATAGTTGGTGATTTATTTCAACGATCAAAAATCAACGAGATTGCCGAGGGCAAATTGCTGTATCTCAAAGAATAACTGTCGAATGGTACATTCACTACCCGTTGTGCGGCCAGGAACTCCGGTGATATGTTTCTGATGAGATTTTCTGTGTCATGTAGGCCAAATTACTGCTGTCCTATCTGGGATCCTCAATAAACAACTGTCCTCGATCAAACAACACCATCTGGCATTATAACACCTATTCTAAAATATTCTATAAAGAAAACTGAGCCAAGTTTGTTGAGGTTAGTAGCATCAAACCCACCTACAAATACTATTGACTCATAAATGGGTTGGTTCTGAGAGGGATGTCCCGAAAACTTCACCCGGTGTTGCAAATGAGGTATGCGAGACGAATATCTACATATACATATATATATATATAAGCTTGTAGAATACAACCTTCAATCCACTATCGTAAACCGGGAAATTTCAATCGACACAGTTGCACTAACATAATTGACTATAACACAGCATCAATAAAACTGAAGAATCGCTCAGATGTACTGACAAAAACATCTTTCCTAACACCCCACGAAAGTATTTAATAGCATTCGGGGAAGTTTTGTTCCACTATGGACCGAGAAGCATAAACAATCACAAATATCCTTCGCAACACAAACAGTTTAGGCTTATCCTTAAATCGGAACTCAACATGATTCCAAATCACTGCATTGATCAAGAGATACCAGCAGCTTTATATGCATTACAGTTACATGCCCAATGAAAGGAATATTTCTATACACATGTGGAAGAACGAAATAGGAATCAAATCCACCGTACTACACAAGGGATTGTGAGGGAACATTCATGATCGAATCACCTTGTTGATGCAACTTTTTTCAACGTAAGGATGTTGTAGGTTAGAGAGGAGACAGAAAGTTAGTGTTTCATGGTTTTGCAGTTTTTGGTGAGGAAGATGATTGCATTTGAAAACAGCAGCGCCCGGGAAAAGTCACCCTCAATGGGCCACTAACCGCTTGGGTAAGGAACTCACAAGGAAAAACTAGTTGGACGGAGGGGAGGAACAGTCAAATTCGGTTGAACAAGGACGAAAGTAGTAGTGACCGCTTGACGATGTCAAATATGCTAGCCACAGGTCGTTAGTGAACGGAACGCCTTTTCATTGAACCTGACTAACTTTAGACGGAAGGAGCTTTTTTGGAGGGGGAGAAGCTTCATTTCCAGCAGAAGCGTATTAGTTGAATATAGTGCGAATCCGAGCTTTGCAAAGTTAGTGAAGTTGGATGATGGCGAATAATCGTTTGACGCGGAAAAGAAAAGACGATCTTGATCTCAAATCAAATCAAATAAAGTAGTCACCCCGGTCCGCGAATTTTCAGCGTGGTTCATAAATTATAGAGGGATGCGTAAGCAATATGCTAAAAACTACGAAAAGAAATGATAAAGTCAGTTTGAAGAGCAAGCTGATGAATTGACAATGATGGGTGTGCGGTTAACCAGGATGTGCACTGAATAAAGAAGAATGCTGTCGTAATGTGCGGATAAGCGGGTGGGAAAAAATGGGAATAGAGAACGGGTACGGGAAATATGGACCACTATGATCACTGTGGTCACTGTGGTCGGCATAAGACAACATCATTTTGGTAAATTGATCACATGCATCGAAATGCTTGGAAACAATGAAATCAGAAAGATCAGAGTACGGGAATACTATCTCATTTGGATAAGAACTGAATGCAACTGAAAAAGACAACAAAATCTTTCAAATCCGGCAAAGTGATAGGGGGAAATACATCGAGTGAAGGATAATACAATCATCAAGCACAGTAAATCTATCAATACAAACGTACAGCTGCAAAACCTTTGAAAAGATGCTTTCAATAATACCTGAATGTTTCACATACACGGATGGTTTGATCACGAGTAATGAGGGGCATAAGATTTTGAAAAACCGGTTGATCGAACGAGTCAGATTTAGCGTTAAAAAGGATCATTAAGCACTTGAGATAATGTAGCAAGAGGGAACAGGATGTAAACCTGTTGTAACGGTTAATTAACTAGCGTTAAAGAAGATTTGGAGAATAGAAAGATGGAAAATGAAAAACCGTCTGATCAGCTGCCCGGTGGCGTAGTGGGTAGCACGCTTGCGTTCTGCCCATGAAGTTCCGGGTTCGATCCCTAGTCGGATCGATGGATTCGCACTGCTGATGAGACCCAACCAGATCGAAACAGCTGTCCAGTGCTTCCCAGCTTTTCAGTTCACGCTTCATTTGGTATATACACGACGAATTCCCATTTGAACTAGAAAGATCCTTCAAGTCCAGCGAGAGAGAACGAGAAATAAAAGATATGAAATGATCCCTGTAACACACCGGATTTAACCGAAAAT